AAGTTTACCCGGAGAGTTCATAATGACAAAAACAAAAAAAATGGTGTCGTGCCAGGTAATAATAATAATAAAATATGCAGATATATAAGGTAAATGTCTATATAAAAAAAAAAACGAGGCTCACCAAATAATTGTGGTGGACCAAACAATATATAAACGCAAAAGTATAAACAAAGTTACTAACAATCAATAGTAATATTAATATTTACAAGTTAAATGTTACAAATACAATAACAAATTAGGGACGTTACTTAAATCGGCTAGTCGTTGCGTGTTCTGTTGAGTCTTGGTCTCAAAATTCCACAATTATAAATGCGTAATAATTCCACAGAGGTAAATATGACGCCAATAAGTTTCTTTGACGTAGGATATAATGGAAATGACACAGCAGTCTGAAATGAGGATAATATCCAGTTTAGAACGCAATTGACTTGGTAACGAACGACAATAGAACAATGGGTATGTGCGTAGTAGTGTATTTGTGAACAACTGAAAATGTCACGCTATGTTAGTAACACAACGGAAAAAGTCTTCAAGGTCATTTACTTAAACAACAGGTACAATCATTTAATGATAAATGTACATTCAGTGAGGAATGGACAAATACAAATAATATTAAAAACTATTTACAAAATAAGCTTGTCAGATATATCTCCACACACTTTTCATTTTCATCATTAACAAATGTTTATAACCAATCACATTTTTTACAGTTCCCTGTTGTCTCCGTTTGTATTTATTTTCGTAACTGTAATTTGCAATAATCAACTGAAGAATAAGATTCAATGCATTAACAATATATACGTTTTATTATTTTTACAACCTGTGGTATTATCACTGTCAACTCCATTTTTATTTACCTATTACGTTTACCAGCTTGAAATATATACAATGAAAGAGGAAAGAGAAAGGTACATATTCGGTTTTCTATACACATTACTAAAAATATGAAACTCAGAAATTTCAGTCTTTAAAAGTGTATTAGTTTGATATTTATTTCGAAATGATCAATTTACAAATGTTTTAAACAGTTTGAACTGATGAATAAATGAAAATTGACAAATTTTACTTTCAATTGTTAAAGTGATTGGTATAGAAAAGCACATAAATAACTTTTACAGTTAGAAGAAAATTCACGTGTTAAGTTTAGTATCTTAAATACTCTTGACAATTCCCTTACTTTTACCATTAATCATTATGAAAAGTTTCTTAAAGTCAAAGAATGTACCTGATACAATGACCCCATTGTCTCATTTATGAGATATATCATTCAAATAATCTAGCAGGTCTGCATCTTATGGCCTGAATCTCAGCGTAATAAATTTTGGACAATCTAACCACACATTTCCATCATAAGGCAGTATCCAATATTATGTCACACCGACACGAGCTCCTCTGGTTTATAGATACACCAACTAATTTATTCTTTTGAATTCATACCTCAGGTGTATTTTCAAGTTGTCAGCTACTCGTTCATAGCCTTGGCCGTTTTTATTTGAGCGTACATGTGCGCATCGCTTACTCCGCTTATCACATATTTTCAGTTTACTTTATCCTCTGGCTGTATATAGTAAGCCAACGTTTGTCCAATGCAGTGAACACTCCTGCCTCCATAGCTTTACTTCCTCACTGACTGTCATCAGTAACCAGTGCATAAGGTGTAGGTATATGCATTAATTGTTATTATAATCATGCGATAAAACTGGAGTAAGGTTATAGACCGAAATGAGACATGCATACACGGAAAATAAAGCTAAACAAGGTGACCTCAAATATTAACGAAAAACATGGAAACTACGTGAAAAACAATTGAAATCACAATGCTCTGGTTTAGTTTTCAGAATAATGATATTCGTCCTGTTTAAAATTGGTATTTCTGGTTACCTAACAATGTTCGCCTCGTTATATCCGGATGACACCAATATATAGTGTGCAGTAGCATAGATTCCTCACTCCGCAACTCTTTAACAAGGCTGAATTTGCTACACTACTCGTCCACTCACTACAACATTTGAGATTTCACACAAACATGGTTAGCTACCATTCAATTGTAAGGATTCTACCGTTGTTTCAATGCACAAAGTAAGGTTAGAACGATTTGAATCATGCTAAGGTCCAGTAAGCCTCGACAATTAAATGGATAAAATATTAGTAAATTCATCGTGCAGACTATTATGACCTTCGTCGAAACGAACAGTTTGTCAATCAGCGAACAACATGATTTACGGAAGGGATTATCACACAACAATCACCTCTTTTTAGCAATAGGAAAATGGATACAGTGTCTTAGTAGCAGGAAATCTGTCAATGTTTTCTACGGTGACCTGAAAAAGCTTCTAACTTAGTGCCACTTTATCTGCTTGTGCCGAAGCTGGGAAATTTATTAATTTCTGGGCTTCTGATGAAGTGAATTACAAACCACATGGTAGACTGTCTACAAAAACAAAGAACAAATTCCAAATGCTCTTTACAAAAAGCACTATTTTATACAACACTCATATCCATTTTAAGTCCTAATTCTTCGTAATTTTTAGTATTTAGCTTTCACGTTTAATCATGCCTCTGATGAAATGCGCCCTTATAACGTCAAAATTTGGTGACAGATAACAGAGAGCGGTAACGAATCTTCATTCCAGGCCCGCTTACATTTTTGTGAAGTTGGACTGAACGTAAGGTAATGGTAGCCAGTGCAGACATGTACATTTACTCATATCTTAAGAATATAACTGCCAACAATGACAATCGTAAAAGTCAGAAACCTATGTCCTATTTCAATATGGTCTTTGATTAGCAGCAAAACTCTATCATAAAACCATGGCTTGCTGAATTTTGGTAGCAGTTAAAGGGTGTTGAGCTCTTATTGCGTTAAGAAAAGCTTTCGTTCAGCTAATTACGGATAACTTCACGGCGGTTTGCACAGTACCAATAAGGTCTAAATAAGGCAATAAACTTTTACTTAAAAATGATACAGATCGTTTGTACGTACGATGGATAGCCAGCCGTGTAATCCTAGGATTTCTAGATATGCCATTCATTTTAAAGCTTGAGACATTAGACCTACTTACTCAGTCTCATTAAAGACTGATATAGTTAAATAAGAATTATAAGAAGTTATACTGCTCTCAGCATATCTCAGGAAAATTATAAGGACATCGAAGGGAAGCTATGATATTGAGGAGAGCATAACTTACGTGTCCAATAGGTTTTTCAACGAGTAAAGGACTATTGGAACCCTTAAACTAATAACATTATCTTTGTGTATTCAGCTGGATCACGCAATGAGAGTTTAGTCAACCGCGAAATCTGTTTAGAAAACTGGTGACATGGCTTTTTGTTCTTTTGTTTTCGACTTGAAAAATTGGATATATGTAGATCGCAACTACATAACCACTTATCTTTCACATAGAGTTGTCAGCCAGTCTAACTCTCATCCATAACAAATTGTCAATGCTTCTTCTGGTAATTCACCTAAGGTAGAGTACGACTGGATGTGAGATCGTTCTAGCATATCCGCGACATATTTGGAACAAAAACCTGCTGCTTAAATCCCATGTTCAGAATTCGTCCTCACAAACGTCGCGGTTGTCTAATCTTTTCTTGCAATTAATAGATTTATCTAGAATGATAGCATAATGAACAAAAACTCAGGAGGAAAAAATGCAGTTTATAGTTTTTATGCGAAATTACAGTGTCTTCGAAAAACATAAAAACCAAAAATTTCATAATTCTTCCAATTATGTAGAAATAACATTTGCTTCTGTTCCTTTTCCTGTATTCCTCAAATGATTATTCTCCTGTCGACCATAACTCTTCAAATTTCTGCTACGTAATAATTCTTACTGTCAGCTAAGATAGCATCCAATATGCTGGGTTGTTCGTCAAACCACTCTTTTTCGCAGTCTCTTGGCAGTATAGACTAAAGCAAAGTCATATAAAAACAGTATGTCTAGAGGTTCAGTAACTGCATACACTATTGCCTTCATATTTCTAAAATAAATATCGCTAACATCAAGGGAAATGATGAAGTAATGGAAAGACGATTCCCTTCCCAATTATCACAGGATCCATTGACAAGCTGCTTTCAAAATTAATTGTTGGTCTTTTACCATTGTCGGTACAAAACACTGCTGAAATATTCTGATAAAGACTCAACTTTTGCAACACAATTTCTTGAGTAGATTAACGGACTTTCTTGTAACAAAAGTGATGAGATTCCATCAATTATCTCAGTCTGCTTCTTGGTATACGAGAACAATCTTTCCGAACTATGCCCAGCCTTACTTACTAACGCTTTTCAAGCACACCTAGCCTTGCAATGGGTAGATCTGTGATGTTCACATAATGTAAAAGTAAACATACTGCAATGCTTTCTTTTACATCTAAGAAGTTTCTTGATCTGTTTTGAATCATGGTTGTTTCATCGTAGTAAGATACCGGTAATAATATTCGATGAGATCAAGATTTTCCCAGCTACGTTAGGGTTAAGTCTAGTCTCACCTTAACACTTTACCAATGTATTCTGTGGCTCAGGATGGAGGCTGACTAATCATCGTTCAACCGAACAGGTGTTGTTTATGACACGACCGCCAATTTTCCGTCACTCACTTCAGCCACATCGAGACCACATGAAACACTGACGGTTTTGTCCGGGTCTTCAAGATCCATTTTAAAGTACTGACCACTATTACCCAGCTGTATTTCACACTTGGTTTGTTTCGAATGAGATTTTCCTTTTCTATTATTCACAATCGAGTGTTTAACTCACCTCATAACAGTGCGTGCTACACTGACGTTAATAATACAACGCACCATTACAAACAGATTAAGAGGAATGCAGTCATCTTCACTGGTCAATGCAATAACATAAATTTGGTCACTCACTATGCTGAACTTAAGTGTTAGAAATCCCTAATTCACTGGAAGGTTTGTTCACAAATTTGACGGTCAAAGCGTATAATATTGGATTTCGAAACCCTCTGAATACGCCGGGTCATGTGAGAATGGACGATACGGATGAGATAGATTTTCTTAATTATGTTTCTTCCGGACAATATGAGAGACCCCGTGAGCCCGTTTTAATAAAAGGCTGTGGGGATGTAACAATGTGAGTCACTTTTTCGGAAAGTTCAACATTTGTAGTAGTTTATGAATAGCCCCAAAACTTAAGTTTCTTTTGCCTGGCCAGTAAAGCTTCATTGGTTTAGTCTGAATATTATTTACTTTAGTTCTAAAATTCCATTCACTCAGAATTCTCCTCACATCTGAAGTGAACATTTGTATTGCATGCTTGCCAGTGTCTATTTTTGAGATAATAATGTTAATAAGTTGACTTTTAGTATGTATAGTTATAAATTTTCATGAAGCCTTACAAGTACAGTAATCAGATGACCCCTTCATGTTTTCAGAGAGCTTCAATCAACAGGTGTAATTTTCCTCAAATTTTATTAAACTATTCAGTTTTGAAAGTGTTGTCAATTTTCGATCTGAATTGCTTAGTGTCCTAACAGGATTATAGCAGTAAATAACTAACAAAAAAGCAGTACGTCGCGAAAGATGTATGGGGAGTTTTAAGTAGCAATTTAATGAACTTCACCATACCAATACCCTGAGCAAAGAGTGGTTTGTTCCTAAAATTCACAAGTTAGAAAGCCTATACGAATAAACTGATTGTATATTTATCCTCACCCAACACGTGATCTAATGGAATGTTCTCTGTAGCTGCTGCTAGTGGTTTGAGCAGGACTTGACAGTAATCGGAGTTTTCCAATCCCCTTAACTTTACATTCTATCATCGAATACTTCTGACCGTTAGCATCACGCGATCAGATGTCGGTAAATGTGGAGACAATCTTCCCCAAAACTTGAATTACTATTCTTCTGTAAAACATTTTATGTATTTTCAATGTATTGGTCAAGCTGGAATTTTATTGTGTTTCTACACAGTTATAGTACGTTCCTTTTTGACCTATTAATTTTAATAGATTTCGCGAGTTGCAGGATAAAAGTCAATTAAACATAAATTAGCTGGTCAGTTATTTTTCAAACTTATCCTAGTCATGTGTCAGTTGTTAGTCACAGATTATGATGTGTTGTGGTCCTGTATTCTACTTATATACTCTTGTACGTCTGAATAATCAAGGTAGTTCTGACCTTTGTCTAGCTTCTGACGTTTTAAATAAAGCTCTAACAAATCACGAATTCACGCAGTCTTCATCTTTCAGAGGTCGCGTTATCAAAGTTAGTGAAGTCGCCATTGAAGTCATGGGCAAGAATGCAAATTTTACCAGTAGATCATAAGTCGGTTACCTTGTAGTGGAATGAAGTTACTACTTGTCATAAAGTATTGAGTAAAATTACCAATCGAAAACTCCCAGAAACAAGAATTCTGAGTCGGTATCATACGAAATATCTCTAATTTGATTCATCCGTTTTACAATGCTTGACTGATCTTATCAAAGAGATCTGTTTTCTACGAATTTCTTCTGGAAGTTGTATAGTCTCAAATACATACTTCTTTTCTCACAATGATTACCAAAAATGTATCCGTTAGTAACGACAAAAATTTCGTTGACGTAAAGAGGAACGAAGTAAGCAAGACATGAAAAATGTTATTCCTATTAAGGTTCTGATGTTGTGAGAACGTAGTATTTGTAAATGTACAGTCTTGAGAGTAAATGCGCCGAAAGATATCTTCGCTGAATCTTTTCTTGTCAAATGTCTCAACTGACGTTTTCCATCTATAATCTCAGTGAACCGTGAACCTCTTTTCTAAATATCCTGTTAATCGTCTTACCAGTATTTCTCACTAAACAAGACTCCAATTAAATCAAGTTACAAAAAAATCCACTTTCATGGAAATGAGAGCAAGGTAAGCTTCCAGTCAATCAGTATAGATGAACCACATCTAGGAAAGGCTTGTAAGATAAGGTATTCCGTCAAGACCACTTGGATTTTGTGGTTTGGATTTATTCGTACACTCTATTTTGCATGTGTTAAAGCATTTAGCGTAGTCTTTAGAAATTAACGACTCTCTGCTTATTTGCTAGGAGATAGTTAATTTTTGCTTGTTGTTAAGTCGGTTTGGATCTGAATACACTTTTCTGTAGTTTTTTCAGTTTCTACTGCACCTAAAATAAACCCTTAATGAGCTTATCTACACAGGCAATGACAATTGCTACTGACTGTCAGTCTGAACGTAATCTTTCTCCATCTTGTTTTCTCTTTGAACTGTATCCTTCAATATTTCGTGTTCCTTTTATTTCATATTCTCCCTTCCGTATCTTCAACACAATATCGTTTCTTTTTCTGTGGCTCGTTTTCCAGTTTAAATAAGGTAAATTGAACCGAGATAGATGTGTGCTACCCAAGTAATTAAGTTCAGTAATGGTTGGAATAGCAGTGTTGTGTCGTAAGTAACACTCGCTTTTAGTGATTTCGATTTACTTACTGACTATTGCTCATCATTTTCATTGTTTATAGGGAAAACTTCATTGGGCTTTTACTTGAACAACTTATTCATCCAATCTTTTTATGTATTTGTTCTGAAGCAACATATTTGACTTCAAGACTACCGATCTATTGTTCGATCTGTAGTCATCATTACAGTTAGTGTGAAGTAGGCATAGATTACCGATATCAGTAACCTCACTGTGTAAACATGTTTACATTTTGATGTTGACCATATCTCAACTTTATAGAGTAATTTGAATAAACGAGTCAAACGACCAATGCATCCAGCTGTTCTACACTTTGACATCTGAATCATATGATAAAGACGCTAGGTAATTAGTGAATGTGCAGATTTCAATAATTTACAACCACTGGAATTATTACTTTTCATTGTCATATGACTTCACTACATAACATCAGTCCATGAAGTCACTGACAATTAAACTGAGCTGTCCAAAAGTGTAGGAAGCAAGAACAAAGATTCTAGCAGAATAGAATTAATTCATTTTATTTCGTTTGGTTATTTTTAGCTGCTTACAAGCTGTGTTTAAAATCGTAATTACAACATGGTTTTAAATCACCTACACAACAGATGTTAGTTGGAAGTTGTTTTGAAAACTCATCAGTGTAGTACAGCAAGGGTGTAAATAAATTTAATAGACGGAATATTGCTAATATATACCTTATGTGGAAAAACGTTATACAAAATTGTTTGTAACAAGAGTTTAGAGGGCTAAAAACAAGTGATTACATAATGAGTAAAACTCAGTTAATAGAATAAGATTACTAGTCTAGAAGATAGTCGAAATGAAAAGACGTGATGGTGTAATTAAATGAAGTAAAGAATTGAAAAAATATTATTGAAGATACAGTGAAGGAACATTTGTCACTAAGGCAAGGAAAGGTTAATGGATATCTTTGGAACACAGAAATCAGATTTTCGACGCCTGATGGCAACTGCTTCAGCAAACTTCGGAAAACTGAGACTTGACTGTATTAATCACCTTGAAAGATTGCAAGATATCGACCTGATGTCTTGCATCCAATAAATGTTTGATGGTCACACTGTTTAAAGTCGTTCTTTCTCTTGTTCTAAGACTTTTTGGAACATGTTCAAAATAGGTGTAGACTGCCTGATTGTGGTCTGTGTGACTATTTTAACCAATGGTTAGAGACTTCGGATGGCATGGATCAAAGTCGTTTGGAATAACACAGGTGTATCCATTCTTTGTCGTCCTCCCAATCCCGGACTTCTGAATTCCTTACATCGTTTGATGCCAATCACTGCTGGTACTGCCACTACCTCTACTATTATAGGATTTGACCTGAAAATTTCCTTTGGTAAATTGAACTGATGTGTATACGTACCAGGCTTTACATTGTAACTGGCTGATTTTACAGCATCACTGTTTGACCTGAAAAGTTCTACAACTTGTAGAAATGTTTAAAATAATAAATTTCATCAAATCTCACAAATGACGTTGAGAATACAGTATACGAATAAGAATTTTCTTATGTAAGTTACAGGGAAATTTACAATTTTGTATACTGAAGTCGGTGTAGTTAAAGTGGTATCAACTTCCTTTCGTTCTCACAATAATGCTGTTGGCCAACTTCCAATATGTGTAAGATTCAACGGAATTTTTTGTAATAATTGAGCTGAACAACTTAGTTCTACAAGCGTATACAGCATCCCATTGTTTTTTTAGATTTTGAAAATAAGTAAGATGGTTATTGCCTGACAAGAATCACTTCATCAATAGTCACTAATACTGAGTCTTAACTTAGCTTTTATTGCTCTCAGGATATTTTAAGTATATTTTTATTGATCAGAATCAATGATTAATAATTAGTAGATAGGACTATCTTATCTTTTCATCTGCGTAGCTTTCCAACATACACTTTTGTTGTCACTATTTTTGTTTGTGAAGCCATGTCCGCGTTTTTACTGTATATTTTTTATTGATATTACAATAAATAAGGTGTTTAAAACTAAAATTTACCTATATGATATAGTTTGTAATGTTAATCTGTTATTCGGTAGTTTATTCTTTTTAGTTAGCTTCAACAGAGATTCATTTATCCAAGTTGTAAGCAGCAAAATCTAGACATGGTTCATAACTTTCTTGATAAATCCATGTTAATTTACTTACTCATAACATTCACATATAAAATTATATAATGCATTTCACTTTCTTTAATTAAAATGTTAGCTTTGGTATGAACAATAAATTCAAGGAAGAATTCCCTAATGAATTACATGGTAAACTAGCACCTGAAGAATTTGAGGAAAGTATACGTAAAATAAATGAGCGCTTGGAGAATTCACTACCTAGTCATGTTAGATGGTTTATTTGTGGGTTATTGTGTTGTTGTTGTACAGCTGGCTGCTCACTATGGCCAGTAATTCATTTAAGCAGACGAACCAAAAGAGATCTACAAAAAATACTGGAAGCTGAAAATATCCGATTGTATTGTAATATTGGTTTACGTTTGTCTTTGGTCAAACAGCGGTCTTCCGAAACAACAACACTGATGGAATACGTATGTTTCCAAAGCTTGTTTTAATCGTGAATTATGTATGATGTATTGTATTCCTGGAATAAACTTTGTTATATCCTAGTGAAGATTAAATTACGGGTAACTTCTGAGAACTATTAATTGACTAATATTATATATATTGTATAAATATTCAGTAACTAGATTTTGTGTAGCTATACTCCTCTTATTATAAGCTTTATTTTGACTTATAGACTATTATGATACGACTTAGTATTCTTAAATTATACTCAGTTTATTAATTGCTCTCCCACGTTCACAGTCACTTTTTAAGTTGATCTTCTATAAATATCAGTCAGTCAGCTACAACGTAGGACCAAGCACGTATATGCATCGGTCCAAGTTGCCATACCTCATTAACACAACAAGATGGACATCGGATTCATAAAAGTAGTTAATTCACAGGTGGTAATATATAAAAGAAAGATTGTAATAAGGATATAGTACAGGAAGAAAAAATTAGTTCATAGAAAGAAAGATATGAAGCAATTTTAATCTCTTAGTCTAAGGAAAGATAGAGAGTGTATACACCGACGCCATTGTGATCGATTCTGAGCCATGTCACCAAGAGTCTCTAACCATTGGTTACGATAGTCACGCGGACCCCATCCAAGTAGTCTGAATCTACCAACATGGATCAGACTAGAGGTTAGTGTCTTCAAGCACTGATGCCCCGTTTCGGTCTGGCCACTCCTAATTCTCTTTCAACCATCTCCAACACTGGTTAGCAGTGCACGTCGTGGTAATCGGTGTTCGGGCATACGTAGCAAGTGGCCCAACCATCTCAGTCGATGAAGATTCACAACCTCATCAACTGATTTACCATCATTCCCTAATACCCTGCGTCTAACCTCACTACTACTTACTCGGTGATCCCAGCAGACGCCAGCAATATTTCTAAGGCATCTGTGGTCAAATACTAGTAGCTTACGAGTATCTTCAACTCTTAATGACCACGTTTTGCAGCCGTAAAGTAAGACAGAACGAACTGCCGAGCAGTATACTCGTCCTTTTATTGATAGACGGATATCTCGCCTTCACCATAGGTGGCGTAAATTGGCAAAAGCCAAACGAGCTTTTCGAATCCGTGCTGAGATTCCGTCAGACACCAACCCATTAGGGCTGATCAGACTTCCAAGATAAGTGAAGTTGTCAACGCGTTCGACTACTTCACTCTCTATCCTTAGTTCAGGTGTTGACGCAGACCACCCCTGTAGCAGCAGCTTGAATTTAGAGGGAGAGAAGTCAAGAAAAACCATGATTGTCGGACGCCGAAAAGCATATCTGTGTTCTAAAATCCAACGAACGGTGAATATATGGTCGATGCAGCTACAACCAGTTCTGAAGCCAGCTTGATTCTCTCGTGTTTGCAGTTCACGAGTCTTAGTTAGGCGTCTGATAATTATCGAGGCTAGTATTTTAGATACTATGTTAGTTAAACTAATCCCTCTATGGTTGTCACAGGATGATTTTAACCCTCTCTTATATATTGGGACGATAAGTGATTGTGACCAGTTAGGTGGAATAACGTCTAACTCCCAGAACTTAGCTAAAATATTAGTCAACCTAATCGCTAAAATTGGACCACAATCCTTAAAGACCTATGGAGCCAACCCATCTGGACCAGCTACCCTTCCTCGTTTCAGATTAACTATAGCCTTTTGAACTTCTGCTAGCGTTGGGGAACCTACTTCAATGTTCCATTCACACTGTCTGGGAATGGAGGGTAGTTGTAGAGTCGCTGAAGGCCGGCTGAACTGTTCTCTGAAATGTTCCGCCCATCGTTCTAAACGTCTGGACTGAGAGCAGATGGTGTCGTCTTTTTCCGAAATAGTCTGACTTACACTTGACTTATTAATTCCAGTTTCTTTTATTAGTCTGTAGAGCTGTCTTGTGTTCCCTATAGTCGCCGCCTTTTCCATCTCTTTTGCTTTCGTTGCCCACCACTGCTCACGGTCGTTCCTTAGACTTTTTCTTAACCTAGATCTGATTTGTTGTTGCTCTTCATCATGTTCAGAGCCTGATGGGATGAGTTTACGAGAACCCATCAGTGCAATAGACTTTGAGGAAATCCATTGGTTCTTTGTAACCCTGTGGTTTAAGTCACTAATAGATTTCATTGCTGTTTCCACAGCTGTTTGTATATTTTTCCAAGCAACATCTGGGTCAGCCTCGTTTTCAGAACCACGTAATTGTGACCTCAGTTGTTCTTGGAACCTTCTTTTGGTTTTCTCGCTACTCAATTCAGTTGTAATTGGTCTTTTTACTGAGGCTTTTTTGCGTCTAGTGAGGCGCAAGCAGATGCGTGCCCGTATAAGAGCATGATCGGAGTTCAAACAGGTATTCCAGAATGAGCGACAATCTTCTACCGACCCTCTCCAACGATGACTGATGGTAATATGGTCTATTTGAGTTCATCGTTGGTTTGGTGTAGAGCGTCGCCATGTTAGACGACGTCTCTCCTTATGCTTAAAATTTGTGTTTGCTAAAAATAAACGATTGTCTGAGCATAGTTGCAGCAGACGATCACCATTATCTGTTCGCTGAGCCGGAATACTAAAATACGCATCTAAATGCCTTTCTGTTTGGTTTAAACTACCTATCTGGGCATTAAAGTCACCTGCTACGAGTACTATTGTATAAATGTTATTTCCTATTTTATGGTGTAATGCAGTCCGTTTGGCTGGTATATAAACCAAGTTTGTTTGAAATAAATAATTCGCATAGTGGAAGCTGCTATTGGCGTTCTGAACTTAAGTGGAAGGGCTAGGAGGAAAAAGGACCAATAAAAAATCTAGGCTGTTCATACCGGTCGAACTTCATTGGTTTAGTACGTTACTAAGATTGTATGAGTCGTATTTCGATTGGCGAATAAATTAACCGGTCACAACAAACTTGATGTCAAAGTGTAAACAATAACATAGTTATTATATGTGAAAATTATATTTGAAATATTCTCAGCGATTGAAATATAACTAATTCCAACGTTTCGTCCAGCTAACTTGTCTGGACTTCTTCAGGGTAATAATCAAAATCAAAATTATCAAAGAAATATATAGCTTTTTAACAATCAGGATTATACTGTGTTAAACCAATCATATTTGGGTGTTGATTTTTTGTAAAATAGGATAAAATGAGTCAGTTGACTACAAATCATGTGATGAATTCAACTACATGGAAATACTTAACTGAGTAACAAATCGTATGTGTGTGAGTGTGTATGTATGTATGTATGTGTGAGAGATTGATATGAAGGAATAAATAAAGTTCAAGTTCAAGGATGAAAAACTTGATAATGAAAGATCGATGTGCATGTCAAAACATAAATTGTATTGTTTAGAAACTCATTCAGTTCTTTTAATAATAATAACGATGCATGTGATATTAAAAACAGGTTTAAACAAGAGATAGGTTCCAAATTTACTTGTCAAACGAAATTTGCCAGGTAGTTGCCATTTGAATACCATCTTTTCGGTTCAGGCTGTTCTTGTTCGCCCATATATGCAGAGCTTCTGCTGTCAATCTTTCTTTATGGGTGTTAAAACCTTTCTGAAGTATTTTGGTTCCTTCAAAATTAATCTTGTGTCCTGTTTCTAACGCATGTAACGCTATCGCTGACTTATTTTCAAGTTTCTTTAAATCTACCGAGGATTTTGGAACATTTTTCAAGCATTGTTTGTGTTCCTTCAATCTTACATTTAATTGCCTGGATGTTTCTCCAACATAGGTAGCATTACAGTCATGACAGTGAATCTCATACACAATGTTCTGTTGTTCTTCCTTTGCTAATTTATCCTTAACTTTCACTAATGTCGATCTTAATGTGTTATTTGCTCTAAAATACACTCTTATATCATGTTTGTTTAGAATCCGTTTGATTTCTTCTGATGTTTCACTCCGGTAAGGTATGACTACGGTGTACTTCCATTCTTTTCGTATACTTTCTAGTTTAGTTTTTTTTTCATTTTTAATAATCTTTTTTAAAAACCTTTTTGGGTAGTTGTTATCCCTAAGAGTAGAAAACACTTTATTTAATTCGGTTCGTTGGTCTTCCTTGTCTGTAACAATCTTAGTACTTCTGTTCATTAGATTTTTTACCACATTAATTTTCGTGCTCTGTGAATGGGCTGAATTAAAATCCAAGTATCTCTCGGAATGCGTTGATTTTCTGTAGACATTTATTTTTAACTTCTTATTATTGTGTCGACGTTCAACCAGACAATCTAGAAATGCTAGTTTGTGGTCAACTGATTCTAATTCCTTAGTTAGTTTAATGTTTTCAGAAATGCTGTTTGCATTGTTAAATAGTTCTTCCATACCATTCCGTTTATTGATAATAAAAATGTCGTCTACATACCTTAACCATAACTTTGGTGGACATAAACTCTTTGCGATTGCACTAGTTTCTAGGGAATGCATGAATAAATTCGCTACAATCGGAGAAACTGGTGAGCCCATTGCTATACCCTCTTTCTGTCTGTAAAGTTGACCTCGAAATATGAATAAGGTAGATCTTAAACATAATTCCAAGCATTTTATAACCTCTGATGGATCTAATGGGCATCGTAAATTCAAATCTAAATCAGATTCTAAATAATCATTGATAATATCCATAGCTTGACTGATAGGTACATTAGTGAATAAGGAAGATACATCAAAACTTGCCATTATTTCGTCCTCTTCTATATCGATGGTATCAATTAAATTCTTGAATTCCATAGAGTTTTTAATTCCATGATTAATTCGTTTTTCATATGGTTTGAGAATCTTAGCTAAGTATTTAGCTAGATTGTAAGTCGGTGAATTTGTATAGTCTACCACTGGTCTTAGTGGAGTATTATTCTTGTGGATCTTTGGTAGCCCATAAAATCTGCATGGATTGCAACTCTTTGGATATAACATAAACCATAAGGACGATCCTAGCTTAGCTTTTAATGACTGTAAGAGTTTGCTAGTTTGCGCCTTGAGTTTATTAAGAGTTGTTCTACTTTTCGCTTCTTTGATTTGTTCATATGGACCCTCTTGTAGATGTTCTTTGGCTTTGTTCTCATACTCTGTTTTATTCATAATAACTGTAGTATTACCTTTATCTGCTCTCGTTATTATGATCGTTTTGTCCTCTCTCAGCTGTTTTAATGCGTAATATTCATTTTTATTTATGTTAGGGTTGTGAGGTTTCTGATGTAATAATGTGTTCATTATTTTATTCCTCAGTTCATTCGCTGTATCATTCGGGAGTATATTCAGCGAATGAACTGAGGAATAAAATAATGAACACATTATTACATCAGAAACCTCACAACCCTAACATAAATAAAAATGAATATTACGCATTAAAACAGCTGAGAGAGGACAAAACGATCATAATAACGAGAGCAGATAAAGGTAATACTACAGTTATTATGAATAAAACAGAGTATGAGAACAAAGCCAAAGAACATCTACAAGAGGGTCCATATGAACAAATCAAAGAAGCGAAAAGTAGAACAACTCTTAATAAACTCAAGGCGCAAACTAGCAAACTCTTACAGTCATTAAAAGCTAAGCTAGGATCGTCCTTATGGTTTATGTTATATCCAAAGAGTTGCAATCCATGCAGATTTTATGGGCTACCAAAGATCCACAAGAATAATACTCCACTAAGACCAGTGGTAGACTATACAAATTCACCGACTTACAATCTAGCTAAATACTTAGCTAAGATTCTCAAACCATATGAAAAACGAATTAATCATGGAATTAAAAACTCTATGGAATTCAAGAATTTAATTGATACCATCGATATAGAAGAGGACGAAATAATGGCAAGTTTTGATGTATCTTCCTTATTCACTAATGTACCTATCAGTCAAGCTATGGATATTATCAATGATTATTTAGAATCTGATTTAGATTTGAATTTACGATGCCCATTAGATCCATCAGAGGTTATAAAATGCTTGGAATTATGTTTAAGATCTACCTTATTCATATTTCGAGGTCAACTTTACAGACAGAAAGAGGGTATAGCAATGGGCTCACCAGTTTCTCCGATTGTAGCGAATTTATTCATGCATTCCCTAGAAACTAGTGCAATCGCAAAGAGTTTATGTCCACCAAAGTTATGGTTAAGGTATGTAGACGACATTTTTATTATCAATAAACGGAATGGTATGGAAGAACTATTTAACAATGCAAACAGCATTTCTGAAAACATTAAACTAACTAAGGAATTAGAATCAGTTGACCACAAACTAGCATTTCTAGATTGTCTGGTTGAACGTCGACACAATAATAAGAAGTTAAAAATAAATGTCTACAGAAAATCAACGCATTCCGAGAGATACTTGGATTTTAATTCAGCCCATTCACAGAGCACGAAAATTAATGTGGTAAAAAATCTAATGAACAGAAGTACTAAGATTGTTACAGACAAGGAAGACCAACGAACCGAATTAAATAAAGTGTTTTCTACTCTTAGGGATAACAACTACCCAAAAAGGTTTTTAAAAAAGATTATTAAAAATGAAAAAAAAACTAAACTAGAAAGTATACGAAAAGAATGGAAGTACACCGTAGTCATACCTTACCGGAGTGAAACATCAGAAGAAATCAAACGGATTCTAAACAAACATGATATAAGAGTGTATTTTAGAGCAAATAACACATTAAGATCGACATTAGTGAAAGTTAAGGATAAATTAGCAAAGGAAGAACAACAGAACATTGTGTATGAGATTCACTGTCATGACTGTAATGCTACCTATGTTGGAGAAACATCCAGGCAATTAAATGTAAGATTGAAGGAACACAAACAATGCTTGAAAAATGTTCCAAAATCCTCGGTAGATTTAAAGAAACTTGAAAATAAGTCAGCGATAGCGTTACATGCGTTAGAAACAGGACACAAGATTAATTTTGAAGGAACCAAAATACTTCAGAAAGGTTTTAACACCCATAAAGAAAGATTGACAGCAGAAGCTCTGCATATATGGGCGAACAAGAACAGCCTGAACCGAAAAGATGGTATTCAAATGGCAACTACCTGGCAAATTTCGTTTGACAAGTAAATTTGGAACCTATCTCTTGTTTAAACCTGTTTTTAATATCACATGCATCGTTATTATTATTAAAAGAACTGAATGAGTTTCTAAACAATACAATTTATGTTTTGACATGCACATCGATCTTTCATTATCAAGTTTTTCATCCTTGAACTTGAACTTTATTTATTCCTTCATATCAATCTCTCACACATACATACATACATACACACTCACACACATACGATTTGTTACTCAGTTAAGTATTTCCATGTAGTTGAATTCATCACATGATTTGTAGTCAACTGACTCATTTTATCCTATTTTACAAAAAATCAACACCCAAATATGATTGGTTTAACACAGTATAATCCTGATTGTTAAAAAGCTATATATTTCTTTGATAATTTTGATTTTGATTATTACCCTGAAGAAGTCCAGACAAGTTAGCTGGACGAAACGTTGGAATTAGTTATATTTCAATCGCTGAGAATATTTCAAATATAATTTTCACATATAATGACTTCTCTATACTCGGCGCTCAATTACTGTCAAACTATTCGTTCTAATCTAGACGAATATTCGTATAAATAACATAGTTGTTTAACGTGTAACAGATTCAAATAGACCACGTACTGATAATTGAGTGAATAAATCTCAGTGTTCCTCGTATTTAAAATTTAGTTTGATCATCTAAAGTATGACTTGAATTTTGCGTGTTAGGAAGAATTAATTAACATTACTTTAATTTATAACATTACTCTAGTTGACTCTCGGTTTATATAACACTGATAGTGATATGAAATAACTTTCTCAATCACTCTACTTTTTTTTGATATTTCACTTGAATATGTTCATTTTTAACTTTTTCCATTAGGTTCTTCGAATAGATCAATTGCCAAAAGCGTGTATATATTTTCCTGATTGAACTTTTCACAAAATTGAAACAAAAAACGGGCATCATTATCATTTCTGAGGAATTTTTACTTTCATTCCAATTTCCATGAAAAATGTTCAGTAATTTGATTTTTGTAGTGATATATCTTCCTTATTTTCATCCCAAAATGTTGAGTTTTTCTTATCAATATTACTAGTCCTATGTTCAGCTGATTATCATAAACAATATCATATTGAACCGTCCGAATGTATACACGAATTCGATAACGCTGTGTTTAAACTGTAGGTTTTAACTTACCTAGTAGATCTGAACAGTTTGTTGTGAAATATACTGTTCACTATCCATTTGGATATATATATATATGTATAATGTTGTTTCATTCTTCAATAGTTGTATTATTTCAATTTCATTATTTTTGTACATGTGCCATTTATTTTTCTATCATTGTTATTATTACTCTCAATAGTATTTAATGATAGTAAATTTAATTTTTAACTCCTCTTTTCTCCTTGTTCTATATGACCACTGGGATATTGTTGTCTTTTTTTGAGGCAATACCAACATTTTTCACTTTCTCTAGTTTCTCCGACATTACTTAATTTGACTACTCTTCAATACATCACATGCATTTCTATGTGGCTTTGGATACGTTTTATACTGGTAAGTTTAGTTTTGAAGATGATAAAATTTAAGTGTCATTCATCCAAATACTGTTGAATAATATCCTAGCCGTATACTATTTAACCAAAGCATCATTTCTTAAGTGACTTATATTTCAGTTTTTCATCCTTAATCCAATCTGTTTATTTTTCTTTAGGAAAAAAGTTACGTTTAGTTTTGCATACTCCAATTGTTTGTAGTTTCGTGTAAAATTTATATTCAATTGTATTGGTTTACGTGTTTTAAATATTTATACACATGTAAACCACTTATCTTACTTTTTCTGTTATTTTTATGATATTATAACAAATTTTCATGAGTAACAGTTATGTTTATGATAGTAATGAAATTTTAGATTTATTCACTTCCTTGTAAATAAACCCTGCTGTACATCAATTATATCAAAAGTATTATCTTAAATTCAGTAAATCTTTTTATTTCTTGCTGTAGGAGAATTGCTGTCAGCTCCCTGTTTTTACATCACTATTTGTTGAGTCGACGTATATGGTGGTAGTGGATAAATTACTTAGTCAAGCATATCTTTTAAGTTATCCTAATGGTAGTCATTCATTTAGTAGGAAGTGACTTCATTAACTAATAGAAATTTAGACTGCTGAATAATCTAGTAGAATGAACACAAAAAATTGGATTTTTGCTGCTGTACGGTCAAAATAATATTCTTCTTGGGTAGCTTTTCCTGTTCCTCTGCTGTACTTTGTGGATGAAAAACGTGCTGTTTAGAAATACAGAATATTCATAGATAATCATAGATACCTTTGGTGCATTGGTTGCGTATATTAGTCCCACAAAGTGAACAATACCGAGATTAGACTTGACCCTAGGTAAGGTTGGCAAATCATTTAATGAAGTCGCTAATCTTCTTCTATTGAGAAAGTTGGGACGTACATTTCGTATGCCCAACCACTGCCTACCTCGACGGGTGATGTAGGAGTAAGTTGGAAGAAAGCTAGTGACGGACTAATCAAAATATAGCATCAGTCCATGAATTTATTGTAAACAGGTACATATTACCTGCTTGGGTTCCGTGTATTCATCATAACCACTGACTAAAGACATTGATCAGAATCAGTTACACTGGTTCAGACGTATTCACTGTCTTTACTTAGATCAAAAGCTACAGAATTATCCATGATAAATTTCTAATTCATATTTTCTCGAGTCATACCCTCTATGGCTAATCTTTTATGTTACCAATAGTACCATTTCTAATTATACTATTTCAACATCTCGCTTTGCTGACGTGATGTAGCAAATTTAACCGATTCACTTATGTGTCATGTTCTGTGTTGCATATGACCGACAAACTGAATTTATCCTGTTGTTGGACTAGCTAATGTATGTACTTCACCCTTTTCTCAATTATCTTAGGTTAATTATATGAAGATCTAATTTTGCTAACTAATTTTCCACAAACAGACTCGTTTTTGTCTTCTGATATTCCAGGGATTTCAATGAGAGACAAGTAGCTGAATAAACAATCGTATTCGTGCTGTCTAATGCAAGCTCTCCTATATAGTCTTGTCATCAAAATCAATCAGACTACCATTCATGATTGCTTTGAAATCTTACTGAAAATTGTCTAAGTTTTAGTTAGATTTCACTAAGAGTCATCTGAGTAGACTGGGATATATTTTCCGTGAGGGACAATTATCACAGTGTATTGATGAAACACTACGTAACAACACAAATAACTGTATGCAACAATAACAATGTTTGTGAGACACATCTGAGTAATATAAACGCTTAGCGATCATTACCTACTGCATATCGACTCTGAAAGCGAGGTATTTCGAATTTAAGCTTGATTACTGATTTAGCTAGTTACCTCATAAATTAGTTAGATTTAAAATCAGATAAAACATGCATATGTGCTTTATTCATTGTGATTAACTGTTTATGTTCGTGGTATTTTGATTCCATTATTTATCCTGGAATGTTGTTTTGATATTAAAAACACTTTTTAAAATATGGTTACAACACAAGTTTTTCACGCGTATTTCGCAGCTTAGATCCAAAATGTTTCTGTATAAGGATTACTGAGAATAAATGTTTATTGATATACAATCATTTGATTTGACTTTTCTGTCATAACATTCTACGGATCGATACCGTTTCAGACAAGTGCCTGTATATGAATTATAATTTTCACATCTTTTTGTAACTATCATATGAACGAACTTTGTAACAACACAGAATGGTTGATTTTATGGTTATTTCTCGTGTAAAAGTTGCAATTCCCGTAAAGTATATCAAGATCATGAAACAAAGTGTGTTAACTGAGTATAGATTAGATTAAAGCATGTTCCATGCAGGATTGTGTAAGGCACTCTGATTGGTCATTTCGTAATCAATCAGTGCCAGCGGATACTTGGAGAAGACTCTAGAATATTATTGTGTAAAAATTATAAATATACTAATGTTTTTCTTATGGTGATTCCTATTTCCGTCCAACCTTGTTATTTGAAATATAATGACGTTCCTGTTCAACCGCGTTCTGATTCGAGGACTTGTCGAGTGAAGTATTGTCCAAGAATACTAAGCGACAAGGGTAGGTGGGTCGTTATAAAAGAGTTCATAAATTGTCGAATTTGTAAATAAGTTATCTTCGTCTAGATGGAACTTTGATAACAAACATTCGGACTGCGTACTCGCGTAACCACTGTTATTACCCTCTATATTCTGAAGAGAAAAAACACAATTCAAGGGCAACCTAACCTTTATTTCACATAACTTCAAATGTCCTAATTTAATATCAATTCTATATGTCTTATCACAAAAACCTTTTCGATGATGCTAAACTATACCACCGAGCCAATTGTGTATGTGCGACCGCTTCATGATCACAGCTCATTTGCTAAAATAGGGTTAGGAGTTAGCACTACGAGTTAGAATAAATATTTTCACCAATAAACGACATCAGCTACAACGCAACGATCCTAAGATGCATATCCAAAGTCTTAGTCTGAGTATAATAAGTAATTCGTTATGCTTTAATGTTTCCTGTTTGGTTAAATGCTTTGAGATCTCAAGGTTGTTTAGGGATATAGCTCAGCCTAACCACATTTCCCGTTTTATACGTTTGATTTTAATTTCTACCTTAAATTTACATTTGTTTATTCACCAAGCTAATTTTATTTAGTAGTTAATGTGACTACTTTTTCCTAGCTACTAGAAAATAATCGTAGTAGAATGCGTATCATTGAAGTGATTGTTCATTTATGTTAATAACTCATTGAATCTTGGTGCTTACCGGTTCTTAACAGCACCGTTTTTTGTTTGTTAAGTAAGATTGTATGTTAGAAGATTAAGATCATTGTAAACATTCTGGAAGCCAGGTAGAAACATGCGTCATGTGGAAGAACAAGGGGATTCAGTTATCTGTCTTCGGTGTTTCACATCAGTCAATCTCCTGTATTTCTGTTTTAACTGCATCATTGATTACCTCCTAAAACAAATCAACAAGAAAATATATCCAGGTCGAACTTGGCTAAAATAATCAATGACCGAATCCACTGGAATTATGGGGAATAATTTACCAATATAAATTAAACTGTAGAGTAACAGAGCGTCTATCACATATCTCGATATCCTGTAGACAAAACGTTTTGAACATGAAGTAGGTGATACTTTGATCTTGTACGGTATAATAAATTATACTTACAGTTTTAAAAGATTTTGATGTCCGAATCTTGAGTGACTCAATTCCTGTTTCTAGCTGCGTTTCTTTAGCATGATTCGAAGTTTGTTATTGATCTTGGATAGTGGAGAAACACATTCGAGTTGAAGAACAAGGGTGAGTTATTAGTTTTATTGTTGTTCATATAAATGCTCCTTCACACGGTCCAGTTCAACCAAGTATTAAGCCTATTCCTCGAAAATTGATATGGAGAACAGACTACAAATCATACTGGTAATCAATAATCTGTTGGTCTAACCTGAAATTAAAAAATATAAGGACATCGAAATCAATAAACAAATTGACCTATTTATTATTCTGCAAAATGGAAAAAGAGATACTTATTCCGAGGTCATCACTTCAAAATTGATCTTGAATACTATAAGATTTTACCTCAATTCTACCTTTTATTATTATAACTTACAAAGCGGAACTAACATTCTAATATTGTTTGAATATGAAGATCGATTTTATGCATCACTTGTTTGGGTAAAATAAACAAGACTTTTTTGATGATCACTTGAAAGGACGTAGTCTTCGTGGCTTACTAATTTGTTTGACTAATCTTTATTAATTAATGGAGGATTTGTTATCTGTTAGGAATTTTCACTGATATCACCATCAAAATAAGCTTTAGTTAACATTTGAAATTTTTTAAGCCGGAACATTATGT